TGGCTGGGGGTTAGTGACAGATAATCAGTGCATGAGCAGAGAGACCAAGATACCATTGATACAGCCCCAGGCAGGAAGGGAGAGTGTGGAGTCTTTCCTAATGGAGGTCAGGGACCAGGGCTGTAGGGGAACACAGGCTGGATTTCTTATAATACAAAAGAGTTACTGAACAGACCCTCCCTGCCAGAGTCTTCATAGCTTTTAGAAGCTACCATGGCCATCAGCCCTCACCGGTGGCCACTCTGGAAGTCACAAGGACCTCAGATGGTGGCCTTGACCCATAGATAAAGACAGAGAGAGGGAAGAACCACCATGGGCAGCCACTGCCTATAAGCTGTGCCTAGCACCAGGCCCAGAGGCTGGAGGCATCTGCCAAAAGCTCCTACATTGGCATTTTCTACTGAACATTTTTATGATCTTGGATCAAGACTCAGGGGGCCTGTTTGTCAAATTTATAGGGAACACAAAATTGGGAGGCAGAGTTAGTACACTGATGGCAGATCAAGACTCTTAAATATTTCAGCAGAAAGAAATTAACAAGACCACGTGTGAATCACAAAATCCTCCCTCTGAGGGCATCTCAAGATCATCTTGTCCAGACTACTTAGTTAACCAAAAAGAAGGTCAGAGAGTGCCACGATCTGACTGAGGTTTTGCAGCACCCTCACTGATTAATGGCACCTGACACCGAGCCCACCTCAGACTCATCGCGAGTCTGAAGGACGGACTAGAACTGCTCCATAGGGTTGCTCGTGTGTCAGTCTTTATGTGGGTGAACTGCCTAGCTTTCTCCCGTGGAGTGGCTGGTAGGTTTGAACCGCCAACCTTGTGATTCACAGCCCAATGCTTAACTCATTGTGCCACCAGGGCTCCTTCAGCTCTGCTCAGTGGGCTTCTTCTTCTTTGGGTCTGGCGAGCTCTCTGAGTCACATTCTCTCCACTCACCACATTGCCTCAATGGTTCCTGGTCTCCCAGCTCCAACCCCAGCCAACTCTTCTTCTTCTCCCTGCATATTCCCCCTTCAGTCCCTGGGAACATCAGAGTCTTCCCTTTGCACTGATTGTGTGGTAGTAACAAAACCAAAGACCACCCCACAAACCCTATGGGACTGAGAGTCTTCAAAGCACTGCATGCTCTAGCTGGGAACACCTGTCACAGGTGTGATTCACCTGTGTGACCAGTGAATGAAAAGCTCCACCGGAGGGCAAGCTCCAACTGGGAGGTGGCAAACACGCACTTCCCTCATTTCAGTCCTGGTGTGGCGCTGTGGGATAATGCAAGGTCAGGTCAGTGGTTCAGATGCACCAGCCGCTCCTTGGAAACCCTATACAGGGTCGCTATGAGTCCAAACCAACTCGATGGCACTTCACTACAACAAACTCTCACAAGGGCTTTTGGAAGTTGTCATGTTTGGGCCCGGCCTGCTCAAGTGTGAACAGGGGCCTGTCTGGTATGTGGCCATGGGACACTTGGCAGGAGGCCTCTCAGGCCCAGATCAACTCAGGACCCTTTGTTGTCCCTAAATGGAATATCCTCCCCGCGTTGTGTGTGGAGAGGACCCCACTGTGGAGTCAGGTCTTGTGCATGTTACCGCAGTTCTGCTGCCTTCTGCATGCACTGGGAAGCCCTGGCTTACCGACACATGGGCAGAAGTGCACAGACATGTACACACGTGTGTACACTCACACATATGCACAAGCACACGTTCACTGACAGCCCAGCAGAGCAGACTCAGTAGTGATCTGAGGGGGAGGGAGGGACGATCCATAATCATAAGTCTGGGGGTGCAGAATGGGGGCCAAGATGGCCACCCATGATGTCTCCAAACAGGCCTTTCAAACAAAGGCAGGGATGTGATATCCCAGGGCTGAGGAGATCCTAGCAGAGTGACATTCAGATTTGGGAACCCCCTGCCCTGAATGGAAGGTAGGGTATGACCAAGCCTCTTTCTACCTACACACTTTGCAGGGTTTCTTTCCAGAATCAGCCCATGGACTTTGCATAGCATCTCCAAGCCCAAGAGCCATTGGTCAGCAAAGGGCTCTGCACCTACACTTCACATAGCCTATGGGAACCTGTTCTGCAAGTCCTCTTGAGGCTGCCTCTCACCCTTAGCAAAATTCCAAGAGCTGGTTTAATTAAAACTGTTAGCAAATACTTTGCTAAAGGTGTGGAAATCATTCAGCTGGAAGAATGTAAAAAGCAGTCATTAGTGAGTTTGCTTTTGACCAGCTCTCATTGACCTGGAAGCCTATCAGGTTGGAAGGCATCCAGAGGCTGGGAACGAAATATTTTGTTGAATAAGCTATAATATAGTATCATCAGGGAACATCCAATGTTCTGATTAATCTTATTGCAAGTTACAACAATGCAAGGCTTGTTTTCACACCTCTATCTTTAACTAATGAAAATTTATTACAAAGAAATTCTAATTATACCCTTTAGAACTTGATACAATTGCAAACCCACTGGAAATTCTCTTTTTCCAAAATCCACATAATCTCATAAGAAGCAAAGAATGAAAGTTCTCCTGAAATAGTTGGTCTATAAATAAAATCCCCTAATGGGCTGAGCAAACAATTTTTCCTTGTACATTTTGTATTAGGTTGGATTAGTCCGTATTACAACCCCTATGAGTGAAAAGCCTTTCCTTGTTAGGCATGGAACATTGCATATACTTGGCATGTCTTAGAAATGGTAACAAGGACATTTCTACAAAACCCGAGACAGACAGGTCTGTTGACCATACACATGGCTATTGTCGGAGGGTGGGGGCAGCCTCATCCTGGCCACTCAGAGACCATTTGACCTTGAACCAGCCTCACTCCACTTCCTGTTGTCCTCCACTCTTGATGGATGAGAATGTATTCAGATCCTTGTTGTTAAGTGCCGTTGAGGCAGTTCCAACTCATAGCCATCCTGCATAGGGTTTCCAAGGAGCGACGGGTGAGCTCAAACTGCTGACCTTGCAGTTCAAACCAACCTTACAGTTTAGTGCATTAGCCCACAGTGCCACACCAGGTCTCCTACTCGGTGTCAAAACCACCTGAGGTGACTGGCAGGCAACAGACTTCCTTAGGAAGTGTGGTCAGCTCAGTCTTGACCTTACTGATATTTGGGGCTGGATAATTTCTGTTGGTGGGGAAGTGGATTTCAGCAGCATCCCTGCTCTCTATACTTGGTAGTGGCTGTCACAGTATCTCTGTTGTTGAAAATTGCTCTTCAGTCACTTTGATTCCTGCAATCCCACGCTCAGTGGACTAAGCAGGAATGCCTGGTCCTGCTCTATGCCATGATGAGTGACAGATCACAGCTTTGGGACCCATAGGGTCCATTGGCTCATTTTCACAAATAGCTTGCCAGCCCTTTCTTCCTGCCCACCTTAGTCTGAAAGCTCTGCAGAATCCTGCTCAATATCTGAGAAGCACACAGCCACAGGAGCTGCATTGGATGGGATCCTCAGGCTAGACCCATGCCAGAGAGTCCCGCTGCCCTTGGCATGAAAGATTTCATAACCCAACTCCTGGACATGGGGTGAGACCACCAGGACCATGTTGTTTTCAAGTAACGTTGGGTGATGTCTAAAGGCATTTGACTGCTTTGGTGTTTCTGTGGCAGAACTGCTGAATTCCCACCCAATACACCAAAAAGAGGAGTCACATTGCCTGCCCTTGGCATGAAAGGCTTTGTAACACAACTCCTCAGGCGAGGCTGGTTGTGCAAAGAGCCTCATGCCTTTGAAGTCCGCGCTCCCTGCTAGTTCTGGATGCTGAAGCACTTAGCCTGATGTCCAGGGTGCATGTTTATTTGCTACTGGTCTCCTGTGAACTCAGGGATCGTGGAGCCCGAGGCCTGTGGACTATGATCTAATGTACAACATTAATGGGAATGGGATGTTCACTGTATTTCTCAACAACCAGGGACCATGAGACATGGTGATGGATAGGTGTGGGGCTGTCTGGGTCAAGGAGAAGGAAGGAGGCAGTGACCAACAGAGGAATCTGTGTGCTCATTGAAGCTCATGCCCACAGGCTGGCCACTGGATGGACCAGGACCAACCCACTCCCAGGCAGGGTCAAGTCAAGAGAGGACGAGATGTGAGTCTACCTGTTTCTGCATTTGGATCAAATGTTTACTTCTAGTACTAAAGACAAAAGTTCTTTAGAAGGAGATTTCTAGATGCTTCCAGAATAGTGTAGAAGCATAAGGAATTTAAGTGACCAGTTCAAGGCTCAGAGTCAGCCGTTAATAAGGATGTGTTTCTCCCCTCTCTTCCAGAAGCAGGATAGGGGGAGGTGCTTCTCATGTTTAGGAAGGATGTCTCCACACAAACCCTGTGTCCACCTGTGTCACTCCTCTGCTTGGGCCTTGGCTTGGTGCTACCTCTCTACTCAGGGAGGGGAATGTGCTCTCCTGTCTCCCTCTTTCTTGTCTGTTCTCTGTGCATGTTGCTCAGGGAGGGTTGTCTTTCTCTGTTACTGAAATCTCCCTTCAGGTTTCAACTCAAGATACCATTTGTTTACACCACTTGCCCATCATTGCCACACTGGTTTCACATATTTGTTTTCCCCAAAATGAATAATGTCCCTCTCTATAAACATGGTGGCCACATGTGTGCTCATGGTCTGTTCATGTGCAAAGGTTGTCCTGGACTCTTCTCAAAGGCATATCTATACGGCAAGGTGGTGGTGTAACCCACCTCCCAATGAACCTAGAACCCAGAATTGAGGATCTGGATCAATATGGGTGTCCAATCCTGGAGTGCCGTACAATTCTCTTCCGAGAACAACAGAGTGCTCAGCACTTTAGCCACTAAAGAGCTTGCATCCCAGGAGCAAAGTTCCAGGTTAAACATCCCTGCATTGCCTAAGTTGATTTCTCTGGGCTTTCAAAGGGACCCTCAAAGAAGCCTGGCTCCTTACAGAATTATAAGGGGAGATTGGGGCTAAGAGGCTGGGTCTCCAAGGGTGTGCTAACTCTGTATCTTATGCCCTCTTAGGACTGAAGGTCATGAGAGTTTGGATCCAGAGGAGGTGGAGAGGGAGGATGGAGCCCCCAGGACACCTCTGCCCCAGGTCCTCCTGCCCCTGGAAGAGAGGGTGACCCACTTCCGTGACATGCTTCTGGAGAGAGGGGTAAGGGCCCATGTGGACACCACGGGGTGTTTCTCTCTTTCTTCTGAGTTCATTCTATCAAGCTAAGAGGTTTGAGGCCAGAGAGAGGGAACAACATAGGACAAGGTGAGGAACATGCTGAAGGATGCAGGAGGGCATCCTGGGTCCAGTTGTCTTCATGCACGCAGCACTGGGAGGGCTAGACATGAGCCTGTCTTACTTAGAAGGGACGCAACACGCCTGTATGGACACACATCCTCATGGAACCAGACTCTGTCACAGTGTAAGACCAAACTCAACTCTCAGTGTCCCCGTGCATGCCACAGCTTTACAGCAATCTGGTAGCATGACTCACTGTGCTTCATAGAATTCAGAAGTAGATCACAGACCTTCATACGAAGGAGCCACTGGATGGACTTGAACCGCCAACTTTTCAGTGAGATGTTTGCATCGCACTGGGGTTCTTGGGGTTGCAGTGCACACATCCCAGGGGGGTGAAGCACTGACAGGTTAATTTGACTCTTTTCTCCATAAATTAGGATGACTTCAAGGCAGCTGGTTTTGGAGTCTCATTTTGAATTTAGGGGAATATATATAATCCTCTCTTCCAGTGCGTTTTATTTCCTGCTTTGGCTTTTGGGTATAAAATGAGCAGATACAATGTTTTAGCCCAGTTGGATTTCTTCACAAAATGAGAGGACACGCACAGGTAATAATGGGCCCCTTCGTGAGATGATAATTATAGTGAGCGCTTGAAATGGCCTCATGATTTCTAAAGCAAATCCTTTCACAGCTACTGCTCCTCCTCAGGCTGCCCTCCAGCCCCCACCCTGCCTGCAGAGTGCGTGGGGGGAACAGAGCAGGTGGGGAGCACAAAGAGAGCCCTAGGGGGAAAACTGACTACACCCAGAATGGGGGGGGGGGCAGGAACTGTGCTGGCCAGACCCACCCTTTCCACCAGAGATGCTCTTGGATGTTAGTGTGTGCCAAGTTCGCGTCTTTTGCCATTAACTTAGAAGCAAAGCACAACCCGTGGCTCAAGAAAAATAGACTTGTAAAGTGGAAACCACTGGGCAGTGTGCAGAGTCTAAGTTAACTTAGGTGGCAAGTAAATACAGGAAGGGAATGACATGTGCACACACACACATATGTGCATATCCACACACACTTACATGTACAATGCACTTACATGTAAGTGCACATGCACACCCACATACTCCTGCATACATGTCACAACATGCATGCACCCAAATGTACATGCACATCCACACACTCCTACGTACATATCACACTTACACACACACACATGCACTCATATGTATGTGTACACCCACACCCACATACCTGTCACACATGTACACACACATGTGCACACACTCATATATGCATGCCACACACTTATGTGCACACACGTATTCACATGCATGTGCATACTCATACCCACATATGCCTACATGCATACCACACTTACATACAGACACATAGACTCATGTTTATGCACACACACACACTCCCACATGCTCTTTCATATACTGCCACACACATACATGCACTCACATACATGTGCACCAGCACACCCACACACTTCTACATGCACATCCGCATACATGCGCACACATATTTACACAGTTTCATGCATGTGCACACTCACAGATATATATGCATGCACACATTCACACACTCACATACATGTACACACATTCACACACACTTATAAACACCTACATGCATATTCACATACGTACACATAAGCATGCATGTACATATTCAAAGACATTCACATGCATTTATGTACACACCCACCACACACAAACATGCATACACACACCTTTACACACATGCATACACATGTGCATAGATGCACACTCACATTCATAGACACCTAAGCACACGCTCACACATATAGCCCTTGATGATGAGAAGGCAGCATCTGTTTAAAAAACTCGATTCAAAAAACAATATCCATTCAAAAAACAATATTCAAATTTTATTTGAACAACTGACTGTACCCTCTGCACTTTCCCTCGCACTGAGATTCTTTTTGTAGCCTCAGAGGTGGAGAGGAGCACTGTGTTTGGAGCATCCTGGGTGCTCTCCCTACAGCCCCTTCCTCGAGGACACACTCAACACTGTTGGTGGGTCGGCGATGCTGAGCGCTGTGTCCTCTCCTTTTCCTGTTCCCAGGCAGAACTAGTCTCACCCTCACTCAGCTCATCCTGTCCCATTTCAAACTCCAAAGACTTAGAAAAAGACTCTGCATGAAGTCAGCCAGAGTAAGGGATACACCATGGAGATGAAGAAGCAAGACAGGGAGGCTGGGGCGGTGTGTGCTGCAAGCTCTTCCCTGGAGATGAGTCTGCTGGTCACATTCCCATCCTCAAAGATCTCCAGCCTACATCAACTGCCATCACCAACTTGTCACTGTGTACAGGTGCCCCCCACCCCATTGCACCCACCCAGATGCACTCTCCTTGGAACACTGTCAAAAGACAAATGTGGGCTTAGTAAGGAGATTGTCTATTCAAAAGGATTTGCAAGAGGGCACAGGCAGGAAGTGATCCTGCAGTGGGGACTGGGGGTTGCAATTGGGAGCAGCGTGGACCCCAAGCTCTGGACACATATCCGAATTTAGTCCAGAAGTGCTTTTCTTCTGCAGGAGGGGTAAACCTTGCTAGAACATGCAGGGTGCTGGGGTGTGGGAAGAAAGGGGGGCTCGACTGCTTTATCTGCTCCCCAATAAGGGCTTGGATGCTGGCTCAGGGTGGGCCAAGTCCAGGAACTGGGGAAAAGGGCATCGCTTACCAGAGTTTATCCGATGAGCAAACACCAAATCCGGTTGATGCATGGGGACGAGCAGTTCAGGTGCTTGTCAGTGAAATAAAGGAAGATCTGGGAGCACCATGCGTTCCATGCAGGTCAGGTGGGGAGGGTGACTCTTTGCAGGAAGAGTTTTGTTGGAGCACAAAGGTCGGGGACCAAGTGTTCAGCAGGTGTTCAGCCCCATTCCAGGTATACAGCAGGTGCTCAGCTCAGTCCTGGTGTGCAGTAGCTGCTCAGGTCAGGGCCTGATATATAGTAGGTGCTCAGCTCAGTATCAGGTATACAATATGAACTCAGCTCAGTTCCAGGTATGCAGTTGGTACTCAGCTCAAGAACCAGGTATGTAGCAGGTGCCAGCTCAGGGCCAGATATACAGTAGGTGCTCAGCTCAGGGCCTGGTATACAGTAGGTCCTCATCTCAGTATCAGGTATATAGTATGAGCTTAGTTCAGTTCCAGCTATGCAGTAGGTGCTCAGTTTGGAAGCTGGTACGTATCAGGTGCTCAGCTCAGGACTAGGTATGCACTAGGTGCTTTGCTCAGGCCTGGTATGCAGTAGGTGCTCAGCTCAGACACTCAGCATTTTTCCTGGGTTTCCTCTGTACCTATGTGGACTCTGCTCAAAATAGATCAGCACTCGCCTCTTGAGCGCATGGCCCCATGCCCCAAACACAGCACAGATTCAGTCTGGGCCATGGAGCATGGATGAGGGTATTCTCTGGAATAGTGGTGGTTGGTGTTGACATCCCCTCCCCTGGTTTGGCACAAGGCAAGGACAGAGCTAGACTCAGAGGGATGTCAGGACCCATCTTCTCCAGAAGTTGGCAGATGGGCACCCCGAGTTAAGACATGACACTCTGCTTAGCTGTGGGATTGCTGTGCTGGGGCCTCACCCTTAGCCACGTGTGCTCCTCTGACCATAAGTTCGGCGCAGAAATATCTGGGACCCTAAGATTCTTTGTGTTGCTTAGACCTGACCCATCTTTCCTGAGCTATACAGACTTTATTATACACAAGCAGAAAGTCATTTCATTTTGTCCCCACCTTTTTGTTTGCGAAGAAAACCTGACCTAATTCCCTGGTGCCACGTTAACACAGCAGGCGCAGGTCAGCACTGCCGGGGAGGCTCCCTTCCTTCTCACGGCCAAGACTTCAGTGAGTTTGGCATACATATCTGCATGGCTGTGGTTGAGAGCTTTTACTAATGAGATTTTTAGTATGTGCTTGCCTCATTGAAGGTGGGCAATTCGTTTCAGCCTCTGAGTCTTAGACTCGTCAAGAGGACCAAGAGATGAGAAACACCAAACTCAGTGAGAGAGAGACCAGGACGAACCCCGATCTCTGTCCTAGGAGGGTCAGAGCAAGGAGCTCATTAATAGAAAGGGTCCATCTGAATTCATGGTGAAGGTAGTAGTGCAGACATCATTTATGGCATTCTGACTTTATAAAATACGCAGATTCCATAAACTGCACAGGCCCTTGAGAATTTTGATAGTTAAACCCTTTAGATTTCTGGTTTCTTAGAAAATGAGGCCAAGGAGGTCAGCTTTTTATGGAGCCGGTGATTAATACTCTATTTTATTGAATTATTTCACAACTGCAGTTCAGGAATTCATGTGCTCTTGGAATGATGACAAGAAGCCCCAGGGAGTTCTGGTATTCTCCATGGGCACTGTGAATTGGGGTGTTGTTGTTAAGTGCCAAAGAGTCAGTTCTGACCCCTAGCGACCCTGTATAGGGTTTCCAAGGACCAGCTGGTGAGCTTGAACCACTGACATTGCGGTTCAAATGGCATTGCAATCCAGTACCACCCCAGGAGAGGTGGTGATTTCGTGCCTTTGTAGAAGGTAGCTGAGGATTCAACGGGAGGTTTTTGTTTTGTTTTGCTGGTAGCGTAGTGGTTACGAATCGGGCTGTGAACTGTAAGGTCAGCAGTTCGAAACTATCAGTGGTTCCGGGGGAGAAAGATGAGGCGTTCTGCTCCCGTAAAGATTAACAGCCTCGGAAACCCTGTGCAGGGTTACTATGAGTCAGAACCAACTTCACGGCACATAACAACAACAACAATTACAAACCACAGTGGGGCTTCCTTGAAACGTCTGTCTATAAGGGGGTAAGTTTGATTGAATAACCCTGCCTGTATAGATAAGTGCATTTAGGATATTTTACTTAGAGCAAGCTTCCATAAAGCATCTCTTGTAA